GGATGGCCCTTGTGGCCTCTTCCAACTCTATGATTCTATGATTCTACCTTGCCTTAAAAAGAAGGGAAAAGCAAGCCATAAGGCTAAAAACCCCAAAAGTATATCAAAAGTATAACAAAACTGGTTATGTTGTGTAGGTCAAAATTATGGACAGCCAGGAAGGGTGAAATGTGATACACGGCACTGCATTCAGCAAGACTTACTTTCAAGTGGGCATTGATAGCATTCACTTGCATTTCAGTAATAGAGATGGAAATGCTATAGCTGACTCTACAATGAAAAACAGTTGAATAAATGCAAGGGGTGAAAACTGACTGTAATTGTATAAGAGACTAAGGGCCTTTGCAGACTGCTAGAAATAGTGCAGATTGAGTCCACTTTAACTGTCCTGGCTCAGTGCTAGGGAATCATGGGAATTGTATTTTTTTCTGAGACATTGAGCCTTCTCTGCCTGAGAGCTCTGGTGTCACAATAAACTACAGTTCCCATGATTCCCTAGCACTGAGTCAGGGCAGTTAAAGTGGACTCAATTTGCACTATTTCTGGCAGTCTGCAAAGGCCCTAAGATATTTTCCTATATTAGTTCAAGTGTAGTAAGAGAAGACATAAATGAAGGTAGTGCAAGGTACAAGGCCAAAAATGAGGTGTACAGATGTTATCAGGAAAGATTTTAGCTGTAGTCTTACAAATAAGAAGGCTTTGTTTCACTAAAATCCAACAAATGAGAGTTAAGCCACCCTGCTATCTGCAGGATTGCAATCTTGGTGGACTGTTAAATAACTCAATAGCCTAGAAAAATTTGTAGACTATTGAGGAATAATAAAAAGAAATGGCCCTAATGCTAGAAAATCAAGGAAAAAGAAGGAACGCGTACTCCACCTAACGGCCAAGACTGGAATTTGAAACCTGCTCAGAGTCTGCTCAGTTCCCTGCATGTGTGTGTATGTGTCTTCAAGTTGTCTGTCAACTTATGGGGACCCCATTAATTTCATAGGATTTCCTTAGGCAAGGAATACTCAGAGGTAGTTGTGCCAGTTTCTTCTTGTGAAATATAGTTTCCACCCCCTGGAATTTGTTGGTGGTCTGTCATCCAAGTACTAACAAGGGCTGACCCTGCTTAGTTTCCAAGATCAGATGGGATCTGGTACCTTTAGAGCCTTCTCCATATATAAACACATGAATATGAGAACATAAAATTTCTCATCAGATGAATGTTTTAGTGGTCACCATCTTTAAGTGTAAATCAACAATATACATGTCTGTCAAACAGACTATAGATAATATTTTAATTATTTCTGTCTTTTTTGGTATCAGGTGTATTTCTTTTTTCTGTGCATACATCTGCCTTTGTCATATTGAAGAAAGCTGGCAGGTACCTTTCCTAGAGTGCTGTTGAGAACAAGTACCATTTTAAAACTGTTACAAGCAAGTCTAAACTGTTTTTTTGTTGTAAAATTCATTGACCTTTTAACTTTTACTATTTATTATTTTAACACTTGTTCCTTGCTTTTCTGAGTCCTTACAGCTCTGATTTGTTAGCTAGTCAGATATCTTTACAAAAAACGGCTAATGTAGATAAACTGAAAATAAATAGCTAGCATACTCTATTTAATTATATTTTTGTTATAAGTCATGTTATTTGTACCTTGTAGAACCAGAAATGATCAATTTGTGGAAGACAGGCAAAAGCTAAGGGAAATAAAAACACAATAAGAACCATGAATGCGACCATGCAATGACTAGTGTGGAAAGATAAAGAAAACGATTACTATAATGATAAATGCAGACAAATAGACAACAAAAAAGGAAAAACGAGAAACCTCTTCCACAAAATCTGGGAACCCAAAGGGAAGTTCAAACCAAGGGCTGGGATACTCTATAACGAGGAAAAGAACATACTACAAGACCAAGAAGAAATAAAAAGATACTGGAGGCAATACAGAGAGGAGTTATAAAAGAGATGGAGAAATGAATGATACATGGAGCAAAGAACCATACAAGAATGAACTCCAAATCCTAAAAAGCAAATCCTAAAAAGTGGAAGCTGCAATAAGAGGAATTGGTAAAAATAAATCGCCAGGAAGAGATAACATTCCAATTGAACTGCTACAATGCATACCATACAGAAGGAACTCTAGTGCTAACAAAGGGCCTGTTCAGACTTCCAGAAATAATCCAGCTTGAGACCACTTTAACTGCCCTAGCTCAGTGCTAGGGAATCATGGGAACTGTAGTTTATTGTGGCACCAGAGCTCTCTGACAGAGAAGGCTCAATGTCTCAGAAAAAACTACAATTCCCATGATTCCCTCATGGGAAGAGATTATGGGAGTTGCAGCCCCAACATCATCTGGAGTGACACACATTTCCAATCCCTGCTACTGAAGCACTGCAAGTGCAAAACAGGCTTCCTTAAAATGAGACAAACATTCAGATTGGCAGGAAAGTAGTCAGTTAAGATAAACTCCAATGTGTGCTGGCCTATTTCTCCACCCTACCAATCCATCCCAGAAGCTTTGGGACAAAAATCCTGTTTACCTGCTTATTGAAACAAAGGCCCAAAACAGACAGGCAGAAAAATGCAATCTGTGGCTGTGCCAGCACGATTCACGCCGGGGCTACAGCAACCTCATGCACCTGGCCCCAATTCAGGCCACCGCCACAGATTGAAGCAGGACGGCAAAAGGAGTGGTATTTTACTACTCATTTTTGACCTGGTTCGTTGGGAAGGCGCGGGCCTAGTGCAATTTCCCTCTGCGTTTGGGGTGTGCGTCATGTAAATGCTATGCCCCAAATGTGGCCAGAAATGAAATTTTTTGACCCATCTGTTTCAGGCTAATGTGATACTGTAGTTGGCACCCTTCTTCCTCCTTTTTATTCCTGTTTCAATTGTACTTTTCATTCCTATTGGACAGAACACATGCTGTGAACAATTTGTTTTTCTGTCTTCTCTGGACTGAAGATAGATATGTTAACTGGTCATGCCTTGAATACCCTTAGAGCAGAGTGAGACATTAAACGACATTTTCAGCTGTATGGCATCATTTGGGTTTCCCATGTCAGAAGCCAAAACATTTCAGCCTAACTCTAATTTGTTGATGATCAAAGAGAATTGTTTTTCTTCTTTCTTAAGATTTAGATTTTTTTTCCCTACCTGTTGTCCTCCATTCATCCCATCCATCATCCATCATTTTAATTATATTCTGTCCTTTCCCCAAACTGGGACTCAGTCTTGCAGATCTTTTGAACTACAACTCAAACTCATACTGGCTAGGGCTGAGAGGAGATGAAACCTGAAGCATCTAGAGCAGTGATGGTGAACATTTTAGAGACCAAGTGCCCAAACTGCAACCCAAAACCCACTTATTTATCACAAAGCACCATGTCCCTCTGGCTTTTTACTAACAAACTCTGGTGAACTCTGTGATGGGGCGATGGCTTGCATGTCCACAGAGAGGGCTCTGAGTGCCCCCTCTGGCACATGCGCTATATGTTTGCCACTACTGATCTAGAGGGCACCAGATTAGAGAAGACTCATCCAGTGCTATCTCAAAACATAAGTTCCCTACCGAGACATCATTTCAGCTCCAGGTGAAAGAGTAAAACACATGACGATCTCTACACGTGATAATAATGAACTTCTTGGAAGACTTCCCAGAAATATACTAAAATGTCCCAAAGTGTAACTTGAAGAGAGGTAGAACATGAGATGCTGCCCTTTTCAGTAAGACCATTCTTCAGAATCAGAATTGTCTTCACAGACTGGAAGCAGTTCACCAGCATTTCAGACAGGAGACTTTCCCAGCATTACCAGACAAAGGGCCTTTGCAGACTGCCAGAAATAGTGCAAATTGAGTCCACTTTAAGGGTTAGGGTTAGTGCTAGGGAATCACGGGAATTGTTTTTTTTCTGAGACATTGAGCCTTCTGTCAGAGAACTCTGGTGCCACAATAAACTACAGTTCCCATGATTCCCTACCCCTAACCCTTAAAGTGGACTCAATTTGCACTATTTCTAGCAGTCAGTATCCAGTCAAAGTCAGGGATTGAACCTGGGATCTTCTGCATGTGCATCCTCTTTCACTGAGCAATGGCCCTTCTCCTCAGTTTGTGTGCTTTTGGATATGGCATAAAAGTTATTTATTTGAGTTCAAGTTCTCTCTCACACAAACTTACCACTGGTGACTCTCAGCGACTGATGAATCCAGATTGATAGCATTCTCAGCTACAAGTTTTCCTGCAAAAGGAGCATCATAAAGTTTTTAGTGCTATGCATGATCTGACCATAAGTCAAAGGTCAGGATGTTGTTCCCAAAACCTTTAGCCAGCATAGCTAGTGGTAAGGGATTACAGGGGCTGACATTGAACAATTTCTGGAGGAATACACATTCCCCATCTCTGCAACAAACCAAACAACAGTCTTTGGAGAACATGTACAGACTATAAAGAAATCCATCATCAATTGCAACTAATTAACACTGTCTCAGAGCATAAGATCAATCCATTAAAGGAAAAGTGCTTTAAAATCATAATAATCCAAACTGGAATGCTGTTTGTTGTGAAGAAAGTTGTAGTGGCTTTGGGGGAACATGCTTCCAGGATAAGCCTGCTAAAGTTATTCATTTGAAAAATAAGGCATGCATGCAGCGAAAGATTAAAATTTTCATCTTTCCTTCAATTCCTCCTGCAGCCATAAAGCAGAACTGGGGCAAGGGAAGCTCATCTTTTCCAATCCTAGCAGGAAAGCTCCAACACACCAACCTGGTGCCCTCCAGATGTGCTGGACTACAACTCCCATGATCCAAGCCAGCTGGGGGTTGTAGGCAGGCAAACTGAGGAAA